ACCAGAAAATTTAGAAAACCGTTCTCAAAAACCGAAACCGAAACCGTTAAAATATGAAACATTGAAACGGTTTCGATCCCTGCTTACATGAGTATATTTATTAATAATATATAAATATTATTTACTTATCATTGAATATTAACAATTTTTGCCATACATTTAACTAGCAATTTTTTTTTGTCAGGTTTTTCTGCTAGATGTTGTATGACTGTATACTATATATAAMAATGCTTTGGGGAGAGTTGGCTTTATTTTCGCCCCCTCCTTGAACATCGTGTATAAACCACCATTGGATGCATCATGAACGCGTGCCTCTGATATTTMTATTTTGTATTGTTATCGCTTAAACGGAATTATTTATTTTCAGATCTAGYTAAGTATAGGTAATATCGAATGAAATGTCAATGGCTTATGACGTTACTGAAAATTCAATAACCTCCGGTAACTTTATATATTGTTTACAATGTGCAGCTCGCTTTACAGCAAATAAATGAGATCTAGTTCTCCTAGTATGCTTATAGTGTGAAAGACGAGCACGCAAGATGTATTTGGAGAGGGTTAAAATTGTATTCAAAGTCTTCTCAAACGTGCGTAGAGATTCAAATGCAAAACTCCGGCCCACCGTGTTATGACGCACGTATTGTTGTATTTATATATATAGATTATGATTGTTGCATGTCAATTATTCGTCCGACGACGAGACGGCTTTTGTATTGACAAAAGGAGTTTTCAAACCACGTATATTCCATATAATATAAACCGTTTAAATGGCACGTGATTTTCAAAATTTAAACACTGGGCTGCGTTTTACTTCCATGTCACACTATCTCCGTTTTATATAATAACATATCCTCTAAATTTTTTCACTAAATTTTTAATATACTTGGGTTTATATAACATATACTATATCATACAATATAAGTGGATATTTATGTATTTATTGCAACATAACGATTAGAACGATTCCACTAACACACCTAATGGAATATTGTTTATTTTGTAATGAATAACAATACGAAGTACTAACAACTACGTACGTTATAGTAGAACTGAAAACTAGGTATAAATATTTAGTACTTTTATAGTAAATTTAGTGAATTTAAGTGTTTTTTGAACTTATATAGCGTATATATTCGTAGTTTACAATGTAAATTTTACATCGTCATAGATTAAACTTTAAAAACATATTAATTCGTTATTATGAATTTTGTACAATACATTTAACAATAGATATCTTAAGTATATCCCTCGTATTTATTTATTTTTTTTAACAATAAATTATTTAAGTATAATTACTACCTATAAGTATATTACTATGGCACATTTAAAAGTTTGA